TGAACTATTCTGGTATAGGTATGTATATCTTTATGACGTCACCGAGACGTGAACCGTCAACATCGCTGTCTTTGGTTCACAAACCGTCACGGTACCGAGAGAGCTACCACAACCACTCACCTTTGTTAATTAACTACGTTCAAAGGTGACGTATTGGTCTATTCTACGACAGGCTTACTTGGTTTCATCAATGTAACTTTTTTCAATATTCTGATAATTAACTTTAAGATTAAACCCAACACTTTTCATTATCATTATTACTAAAATCTATATGGAGACGCCACCTATGTGCATATTTCAACCCAAATGATGCCTTGTGTAGCTTTGTTACTGACTAAGATTAGCTGTTTAATCAACCATGACCATTATTTAATGTAAGTCCAATGATCAAGGTCAGATTGGTCCAGCTTTGAACCTTCATCAAAAAGGAATCTTTCTCAGGAGTTAGGCTTCTATACTTGTATATTGAAACATTTTGAAGACAGCATTCAAAATGATACCTACTCATTGTATTACTCAGCATTCCCACTCAGTTTCTACTCAGTATATGTACATACGGTAGTATTTTCATTAACATATTAAAATTCATGCCTTACTTTTCATTTCATCAAGCCAATTTTAGCACTTAGAACCAAGAAGAGTAAAATAATATTAATAAATCCAAGCTAGAAAGGAACTTTACACGTTGAAGTAGGGTTTGCAAACCTATTTTTCATGCCCCAACTAGCCTAGTTTTTGTACTGCGAAATTGTTTTATGCCCAGTGAGTCCAAGCGAGCAGTAGTAGTAAGTACAATAGTAATGTGCGGCAGAGGGTTTTATAAAAATGCTGCATTAGTGAATATTACATACAGTACGTATGTTTATAAACTAACAATAAACACGGTGTCAGATGTTTCATTTGGATGTAAATGTGTGAATCACATTAAAGTTAATGGGACCGTGATGTTGTGGTTCCCCACCGGTCAGCTGCGCTGGCCAACTACGAGCTGGTGCAGAACACATGGCGAGTATAACACAGAATTTATTTCATGCAGCATATTTAATATTTTCTTCTGTAATCAACACTGTATATGTTTGTATGGATTTTAAGTTCAAGGGTTTAAAATATTAAACTAGTGGATGTATTTTATTTATTGAAGATTTATTGAGATGGTACAAATATAGCAACTGTCATCAAATTTTAAAGTTATTTATTTTAATTTACTGTGTAGACATTTAAGATCATCATAGTGTTTTATGTACGAAAGAAATTCCAGTTTAAGAGCACAAATGAATACAGTTTAACATTTACAGAAAAGGTTTTATCGTTGAGGCACACTTTACAATAGTGCCATTGCGAGAGGCAAGCCATCAAAAATACCAAACAAAGAGAGCATAGCCCGTAGTTGTTTGGTTATAAAGGAATATTCTGATTGAAAATAAATCCATGCATGAATTTACAGTCAGACTGATTACAAACAAAATCACAGGCTTGCATTGCCCCAATACTTAACGCACATTTCCATATGAGTTCGTTGTTAGTGCATATGGCGTTTGTGGACACCGATTATATGTTTACTGTAGTGTAAATGATTCTGTACCTTTGGCCAGCTTATTCACTGGGATATTGAAAATTCTACTTTATCCAATCCGATTGGGAATTTGCAATCTGGCGATCATTTCCAATTGAAGGGTAGAATATTTTTAACTCATTACTATTTATTAATTACTTGGATTATACGTACATGTAATGTTGCGTAAATACATTATTTAATACAAATACACAGTTACAAGTTCGCGAATTAATGTCATAAATTATATCTGCATTACGATTTATTGTTTCTACGGTAGCCTAATTACAGGATTAGTGTTAAACTAGACTGGGATGAAAAAAACCTGTATCTTACATTGGTCAGACAAACGCAATGCGTGTCAGTTGTTTGCTCTAGTAACCGTCACGCATGTTTTTGAACTTGGCAATACTGTAATACCATATTTATTACTCGTTTAACATGGTATAATATGGCGACTATTAACAATACGACACAAATAGTTGTTTAATTATTTTTAATAATCATTTTGGTAGCCTATAATTGAGTTTGAAATAACTCATGTGTATTGTATCTTGAATGCAATAGACCTGTAATAAACATATTGCGTGAAAATAAAAAGTGATTAATCGAGGACTGCGGCGCAACTGCTCGCTCATCAGTCATACGTTATCAGGTGTCTGCTGACCTGGGAGTTATCTTCCACTATTGAAAAATTAAAACTTTAACTCATTATACGAGTATAACAATTGTGAACCTGCCAAAAAAAAACAAATAGCTGCAATGTAGGAGGATAAATAAATAACAGATCTAGACATCTCCACTGTAACAATTAAATATAACAAATTTAATGCTATAATGGGAGATAATATTGCCACCACAGCAAACCTGCAGACTCAGTTAACTTCCATTTACCTGGCTGGATTTCGACTAAAATATTCCCCTCGGAATTATTTCCTATTGAAATAACGTTAATTTTAGTGAGTACTTAGGTTTGCTGCTACAGGGAAAGTATTGAGGTGGGTTTTTTATTGATATTTTGATAGCTTAGTATTAAATAAACTATATTGCCAAATTTGTTTAAAACATATCCACAAAAAACAAGCTACAACAGTTTATTTATTTTCTAAACAAATACCATAGGAATTTTTAATTTACAGGTTTTTAATTATCTCTGTAACCAACAGGCACAAATTCAATATCCACAATTATTTTTCGTAAGCTCTACAAAATAGTTTGGAGAGAAATTGTGATTTTTTTTATGGTAGAAAATTGGGAAAACCAATTTTTACCCCATAAAACCCACAATAAACCCCCGTTACCATATACCGATCATGCTGGTTCGCGAACTCGTTCGAATAAACGTAGGTTTACACGTTTGTACCAAATTTCATGACAATCGGATCATTTTGCAGGAGTTATCACGCTAATGGACATTTATATTAACTTGGCAGAGGGTGATTTTGGCCTTAAGGGATCTCAAAATGAAAAAGTTAATCAATACCAGTTCTAGGTCTTACCATGCGACCTACGGTAATATCTTATTCCCTATATGGGAAATTCGCTTAACAGACGCAAAAGTCGACATCCCATCTATATGGACCAGTTATAGCCAATTTTTTATTAAAAAACAACGTAGTTTTGTGAGCCAGTCAGATATACGCTAGAGTCTAAAATTATATTTTATACCTGATATTTTTTTCTAGCCAGGTTAATGGGTCATGACAGTTGCTATAGCTCACCATAAGGCATTCCATAAGTTTGACTTGGTAAAAAAGGTTTGTGAATTCGATAGAATTTAGCAATTTGGATCAGCGTAATCTGTCGGGGGCTCACATCAACTACGAGGTTTTTGATAAAATTCTGGCTACAAATTTAACATGGTGATGGAATATCTAGTTTTATTACTCAATGTTACAAGTGTTGTATGTGGTGATTCTGCAGTACCGCTAGCTGTGGTGTTCCGAGTGTAGCAGGTGGTCGACCAATCCACTTACCCCGGACAATCGCTGCCGACATTACACACGACTCTATTTCTCACGTTTTAGGAGAAACTAACATATTTTTACGACACTTTAACGATACATAACCATAATATTTAACAACCTTTCCGTGATAGCTGCAACATTTGAACACACTACTTGTCACACAAACAAACTATATGAAACAAAGCTTGACAGTTTTGTTGGCTGCCTAGCAATCGGCTATTTAGATGGTTGGCGCTTCAATAAGTTTTCTGATAGTGCTGGGTTGCGCAAAATATTAAGGCACAACTGAAATGGTGTCTCAATTAGCCAGGTACTTAATAAGAAGAAAAGTTGAACAGATAGCAGCAGAAAAAAAACATAGAAATAAATTAAATTCGTCAATAATAACTGCACAATAATATGTACTATTGCTGCACCCCGTTTCATAACGAAATCGAAAATACTGCTGTGAGTAATAACTAAGTTTATTCGTGAAACATTATACGTAGAACCTCGATAACAAGACTCTCATGGGGATTATTAAATAAGACTTGTTATCAAGGTTGACTTCTTATTGAGGTTGGCAATTACATGTGATAAAGGGTCAAATAAATTCAAGGGGATTTAAAAATGACACTTGTTATCAAGGAAGACTTGTTTTCGAGGATCTTCTTATCAAGGTTCCACTGTAATGAACTAAGCTAAAAGGGTTTTTTTAATTTTTATCTATATTGAAAATTATAAAAGTACATTTATGTCGGTGTCTAGTTAAAATAGGCAATAACATTAAATAAACCTATGCAAATCAAATTTAAAATTTTGAAAAGCAAAAAAATGCTGCAGGCAGAGCGTTTTAAATGAACTGATTGAATGTAAAATCAGCAGTTTTCACCTTCAGCCGGTTTTACATTCAAAGTTTTGATTTGAATTCTGAATCAGCATTTTACATAGCTCGTATAGTCATATATCGTTTCAAGTGAAATTATTATTGGCAATAATATATTTTTCTAGCTTTATAGCATGGGGGTGTTTATAAAAGAAATATATTTGCCATGTTTAAATAAATTCGAATCATGTTCTCTACTTTAATTTTACTATCACATGATGCTCCAGACTGTTAAAAGGAAAATGCGATTAATAGTCAATTAGCTCTCAACTTACTTTAGTAATACTTTTCAATGAAATGGCGACCATACAAAGTAGGTACTTTAAGCCAAGTATGAATGAAGATGAGTGTAGGATGAGTGGCGAGATCTTGTAGTCTTGTTAGTGACTAAGGCCGACTTATTCCTTAAACACAGCTGTTAATTAATAGTCCATACAGCTAAGGGACCTACAGTTTATAGTGGAATCCGAGCCACATTTTTGCCTTGGTAGGCTATATACGAATTGGTCTAATTTTCAGGATAGTACTCAAGTGAACGCATTAAAATGTACGATTTAAAGATGTCTTTTAAAGAAGAGGGTTTGTTTCTATAGAGACATACTTTAAATAACACAGCCAAATTTCAGTTATGATGTAAACAAAGAGATTTAACAATGGTGAAAGAAGGAGTAGACACAGGCGGTACCAGGGCCAACCAAGATGGGACTGAAGAGAAAACTGATCGACTCTCCGTCATGGACAGTCACGGATATTCGCTAGGAAAGATAATCGGTACCGGATCTTACGCTATCGTGAAAGTAGCCAAGTCCCAAAGACATAGCGACGAGGAAGTAGCCATCAAGATAGTCACAAAAACACGAGCACCGAAAGACTACCTTGTCAGGTTCTTGCCTAGGGAAATCGAAGTTATTAAAAGCTTAGATCATCCGAATATAGTAAAGTTCATACAAGCTATCGAAACTCCTCAGAGAGTGTTTATTGTGATAGAGTACGCAGAGAACGGTAGTTTACTGGACGTAATCAAGAAGGAGTCCCGCATCGAGGAGGATCCGAGGGCCAGGAAGTGGTTTTGTCAGTTGAGGGACGCTGTCAACTACTGCCACGACGAGGGCGTCGTCCATCGCGACATCAAGTGTGAGAACCTGCTGCTGGACAAGAGCCACAACCTCAAAGTGACGGACTTCGGGTTCGCCCGAGGTCACATGAAGCCCAAGAACGGAGGACTCCCAGTGTTGAGCGAGACGTTCTGTGGTAGCTACGCCTACGCCTCCCCCGAGATACTGAAGGGGGTGGCCTACGACCCTATGTTCTCAGATGTGTGGTCCATGGGCGTCGTGCTGTTTGCCATGCTGTACGGCAAACTTCCCTACGACGACGGCAACTACAAGAGACTAGTCAAACTTGTCCAGGCGAAAGTCAAGTTCCCTGTCGAGCCGGAGATTTCCATACAGTGCAAGGCTTTGATGGAAAAGCTCATGTCCCCCATCAAAACACGACCGTCAGTGAAACAAGTCAAGAAAGACCCTTGGGTTAGGAAGGACGATAAAACAGAATCAGTATAGATTTGAGTACGCTATACTGTACTTGGTTCTGTGTGTTGGAATCGAACATTATTTTTATTTAAAATACATCGAGTTACATTTGGCTATCGTTGTCAATGACTAACCCAAAGCTGTAATTTTACTAACTGTATAAATATAACTGCCACAAAAACACAAAACCACGATTAAGAGCATCTGTTATTTTTAGCTTTTTACTTTTCGAATTTATTTTATAATTTATAGGAGGTATTAACTCAGTCAAGAATATACACGTGGATGCGCCTTTGATCTTGCATTCATTCATGGGACTATGCAAAACTGTGGGAATGCTCGTCGATTACTTATTTTCAACATTATAACTACTTGTTTTTTTTTTTTTTTAAACTGTAAGTATGCAGTCAGGGAGTTAATCACACTTATGCAATTATCCAAACCAATTTTTATATCAAATATCATTCTGCATCGAAACGTCGTATTTTTAAGTTAAAGCTGATTTTATGAAGACTCCATTTCTGTACTAAATGGTAGTCTTGGGGTATTTCACAGCTACTCTACCAGGAACGATATGAATTAATTGATATTACAGACGGCTTCCTATCGACTTAAAATAATTTTTAACTATAATCCAATATTCACTGTTAGCTTATTAAATTAAAAATAGGTTTATTATAATTTTCTGTACTTAAGTAACAAACCAATGGTTTTGAACTCTTTCAAAATCCTTTTGATGTACTGAAATTGAGATGACTAAGTCATTAACAACATTTATCTCGTCATTTGACTTATAAAGGACGTGTAAAAGAATGTTGACATAACAGTTAGCCAGGAGGGAGTAATAAGTCTCAGTTTAGGAGGTTGTGTGTTTATGGAGGAGACCCAGGTGTTGTTACTAAACCTCTTAACGTTGCGGCCAACACTGAGCTCCCGCAATACGGCTGTGGTGATGTGGAAAACCAACTTTATAGACCCGTACGTTGTGGAGAATACTCCAAAAATAAAGCATTTATGTTAGGATGAGTTAAGTAAATAGTGTTCGTCCACGGACGAGGAGTGGCTGGTCTCGCCGGGGTAGAGGAGGGACAGTGACAGTAACGGATGATGCGTCACAACAAAGCAAGCTCTCACCTCCTGGGACCCTACACTCTGCAGTAAACATTTACTTAGACACAACAACTAAGTTGGACTATTATTATAAAAAAAAAACACAGCTTTTAATTGTGAACGATGAGATAAGAAAGAAAATTGGTAGTATTGAAAAATATCATCTAGGTATGATGCAGTTTCACTATGATCATTGATCACGTTGAATTGACTTTGAATAGAACACTTTTTACCCTATTTTTTTGTATACGAATGATAGCTAAATTTTAGTATTTAATTTTATTTAATGGTGAATTTTGAAGACACTCTTTTCATAAACCGGATACGACGTCCCTTTAAAATATCTTGAGCCAATCAAAAAGGTTGTTAAATCCATATATAAGTATGTTAGATAAAATAATTTCTGAAATGATTGCACAGTTCCTGATACCAGTTCAATTTAGTATTAGTTGTCACATGACATATTCCTGACCTGTTACAGATTAACTACTATCAGCTACATACCTTTTTCGTTCATAATTCAAAGTTAATTAAAAATCTAAAATTGGTGCTTCGTAAAATAAATCTATTATTCATTAAAATGTATAAGCTAGTTTTTTCATGATTGTTTGAGTAAAAGACTAGTGGTTTATCATTATTTGGTAAATGCGAACTAAAATACTCTTAATGGAAATAACTGCCAGGCTAGGAATGAACTTTACAATTCAAAATAATTACGTATTTTGAAAATAAAAAAATGTATAAAAAAGTATTAGTCTGTCCATTGTTGTGTAGCTGATGATACAGAATGTCAATGGTTGTTAGTTTCAGGACAATACCTGTCTGCAAAGCCTCGCTTTATAATGTTTGACAAGGATAATGAAGGTGTATATCAAATAGCTCGTTAAAGGTGACCCATCATTATTACGGAGGAACATTATAATGTCAGGCAAATGTCAGACCATGGCTCTCCATCACAAACCTATAAACTGGTTAGCAAAGGCCAGTATACAGAGATGGCGGGGAGAAGGGTAGTAAATTGTGTGTCTAATCAGAGGCAGACTTGTACAGCTCATAATGAGTGAGAAGTATGAAACTTAAGTAATGTCAAAATTCGAAAATTTCCCATAGTGATATGAGAGATATAAGTGCAATAACATTATTGTTAAAAACAAAAGATAATTTTAAATAATTTTTTGAAAATAACAAACCTAACTTAGGCGATTTCTTTAAAGAAGACAAAATTCTTGTCGAGGCTAGGTTTATTAATCTTATAAGGGATAGTTATATTCACGAGTGGTCTTATTGGGCAACTAATAATTATTTGTCAACAACATACTTAAAAGAACTATATTTAACCTTAAAAGTATTGGTTGTCATTTTACTCTATATTACTTATTACTTTATAAAACTTGGCTGGAAATATTTCAATAAGACAATAAACAAATATTGATGAATCGTTTATTCGCGGATAGTTTTTGTTCAAGATTAATTTGTTAGTTTGAGCTTGATATGGTTCACACTTCAATAATATAATTTCAATTGTTTGTACCAGACGGTATTGGGTATCCTTTATATAATTTCATAAGGAGTAAAATATATTTAAGTAGGATAACCATCGTATCAGTAATTTATTTATAACATAAATTAGATTTCAAACGAATCAACTTATGTTACACCAAGCCGCTTATGATGTGTTCAGATATTAGAAAATAAATGAAGTTCCGTCCAACTGTGCCTTGCATCAGTCGTATATTTTATGAAGTTTAATCAGTGTTTTTATTTATATACTAATCATAAAAGTACAATGTATAATATTTTATTTATATGTAATATAATTGACTTTAGCAAAAAATTGAATTTACTATGAGTAAAAGCATTTTCGCTGAAAACATCTAAATACAGTAAGGGTTAAAATTAATGAAATTATTGTTAGCTCCAAAATCTGACTAGGGTGGTATAAGTGAATTGACAAGTCTCGTTTAGACAAAGCGTAGCCGTCGTATTGTACACACAATACGCGTGGGGACAATAGTTAACTGAGAACAATTGCATTGGGCAATTGGGTGTGTGTAACTATATATTATGGACCAGACTGATGCTAAAACTCGTCTATAGCGAACACTCTCGTACGTAACTTTATAAAACTCACCTAGAGTTAGCGAAGGTCATTGGTGGTTCTATAGTTATTTGTGCAACTAGAGAGAAATACTTACTCACGAGCCGTAGGCGAGTGAGGAATGGTTTCTCGAGTGAGGCAATTGCACTTTGCATTCAAGTTGCACATTATATTTTTCCTACAGTTACCATAAAACAAATAAATTGGTAAAGAAACGTTACAAATTTTTACACAGAAGAGAACTTTTAATATGACATTTAATGAGACAACAGTACAACAGCTGACCAGCTGATTTACAGCCAGTGCTGCCAACGTATTTCGCGCGCATTCGACCTTGTCTGCATGTTACGCGCTCACTATTTCGTGCCTTCACGTTGCAAATCTGGAGTGAGACAAAGTAATTAGAGTAAGACAATGTTAACATTGTCTCACTGGTGAGCGAATTGGCCACTTTGCTTTCTCAAATCAGTGAGAGAACATGTACATTGTTAGGTAACTGTAGGAAAAAAACATTATATTGTCCCTGTTCAGCAAAGACAATAATAACTGTATCTGTTAGTCGGTATTTTATTTTTGGACTCATATCTTGTATCTTGAAAATATATTAACAAACTAAAAAACTAACACTATTTAACATAGGATGAATTTGAGTTTACATGAAGTTCAGTTTGTTAAGTTTTTATGTATTAAAAAGGAATGTTTTAATAAATTGCCTTACTATTATTATTAAGTAGACCACCATTGGGATAAAACTTGAATGTAAGAGTCTTATAAATATGCAAGTTTAATCTGCTTTAACCCTCCGAAACAAAACAATTTTCAATTAGGGCTTTTAGAAATAGTAATCAGAATTCAGTCAAGGGTAAATACAAACATCGCGTAAACCGTGAATTTAGTTTCGCCTCTCCACGTGTTTAGTCTGGTATAATTATTGTACGCCAATGATATTTGGCCACACAAATGCGCGGATGTAATCCTCATTGCCCATTACATTGGCCTCGCTCAGTTGTGTTTAGATAAGAACTGGTTAATAACCATTGACCTGGGCTTCGTAAAACCGATGGATTACTATTTTAATGATTTTGCTTTATCTGAGCGAACAATGCTCTGGCCCAAACGAATAATCCTGGTAAGTTATTTACTTAGGTAAATAATATGCGATGGTATAAAAATTATGTACCACCTTATTATATAATAATGGAGATTGGGCCAAAACAAAATAAAATCAAACAAAATATAACTTTCAGATTAAAAACATTTTCCTAAATAATAAATTTAGGATTTTTACAAAAATCATATTTTTAGAGGGTAAAAAGATTGCATCTTTGAACTAATGTAGATGGAAACTATAAGACGTAATCAATGAAATGGTAAAATGGACCAATCTTCTAATGGTTTTACGCCAATAAGCTCAAATTTTTTTATGCTGTAAATTAAGTGATAATAAAGTGGAGTTTTAGTAATTATCTTTACATTTTAAATCGTGTTTAAATTCTTAAAGTATTTAATTGTTACAAATTATCCACTAGGTCATCCGTACAAAAAATGTAAACGTAAACCCCCTGAGTTTTTATTAAAGAATTGAAAAGTGTAAATCAGTTTTACTTAGTTATATCCGGTCAGCTTATAGTCAATGTCACGGAGGGATTTGGGAGATCCGGCCACAGGGCACAGGAATGATAATACAATCCCGAATTTGAAACGCATTTTATAATTTTTTTAAATTTAAATATTATAAGGGATACTTATACAATAAATGAAGATCCATTTCGTAAACTATGGTTGTATGTTTGTACGTAATAGCATAGAAAATATTTTGTATGGTAATAACTTACCATAGAAAATTAATTAATTTATTTTTAACACATACTAAAACTAATTGTAATTTAACACAATATGATAACCTACACACCTTTCAACACTTTCTGAAATGTACGTAAATGTAATTAATCTGTAACATGCATAAACATTTGGCATGAATTTCTC